AACACTTTCAGGTACGGTGAAACGACGAAAACAAGCCCTTAAACACAGCACTGCCGCTCGGTAACTGGAATCGCACTCATAAAGTGCTCCGCGCGCCGCACTTCCCAGGCTTGTCACATCTTTATTAGTGCTTTAATCGAAGTGAAATTTTACAGGAGTCTTCTCTACAGTATGTACTATCGATCTACCGCTTAAAATCTAACTTTTTCCAAACTTCACTTTTTCGATTTATTGCCGCTTAAACCGGCTATTCGGACCATAGTGCGCCACCTCTCGCGTCAATAGAGCTGCAAACCGTGGTTCGTTATCTCTCTGCATAGAGTGAGGATCGTCCACGCTTAGAAATACGTGCAAAAAGCTGTCGACCTTTTCTTTTGTCGCTTTGTTTCTTAAAAGCCTAAATAAGAATCTAAATTCCTAAAAACTCCCGGTAATGCAGGGTCCATTTGAAAGCTCCTTCGACCAACTTTTGAAAATCAATGAAATCAACTTGTCCTCTTCGATTGAATGACTCATCAGTGATCGATCTGACATTTTATTTTGAAAAGTCTTTGCATTCACGTAAAAATTACGTTTTGATCGTGTCATCATTAACCATTTACCAGAGTATACATTGTTTATACCTAGCTTACAAAATAAAAGAAAAACCGATTTAATCTCATTCTTAGTCTATGAATAAGTCAACAAATATTAATTATAGAGCTTTAACCCATGATTTTTTGAATAATACCGTTATTTAGCCCTATTAAACCTCCAAAGACTGTTGACCCACTTGTAACGAAGGAAAATCTTGAGATAGAAAAGAGATGGCATTGTACAATCAGCGGAATTACTTTTATTAAAGTAGATAAAATATAAAATCCCACCCACTCAAGTTTTCCACAAATTAGAATAAACCAACAATTAGTCGTTATCATCGTTATATTATCGTTTACATTTTTCATTAAAATTGTAAAATTTTATCGTCATCCTTGAAATTAACCTGCTCCAACCGTGAAATATAGCCCAAATTGTTTGCCTGTTACAACAAATGGGCCGTTTTTTGCTCTTTTGATGAAATGATTAAAGGCTCTAAACATTTCACGGAATGAGCAAAGGCGAGTTCATTAACAACTTGTGCTCTAGATTGTGGGAATAGGTTTGAGGAGAGCTTTCCGCCATTTTGTTTTTATATGATATCCACACATATACTCATGCATCCCACAATTTTGGACGTTATGCTCACTTCGATTTTTCTAAAAAATTATCCCTCGTCAAAGTGAGCATGGAGTCCAAGATCTTGGACGTGATGAGCAACCGAGCATTATATAGGTGATCATGAAGTCCAATATCATGGACGCGATGCTACATTACCCATACGGCGATGCAGGCGGCGCACACTGTGGTATTGGACCTGAAAAGCTGGCCAAAACTATTTATCACCAGATATCGCCGAGTTTTAAAAATATTTTACAACTAGTACTTCTTCTTAAGTTATAATATGCACAATTTAACCACCTAACACATCATATGACAATTTGCGGAGAGTTTAAAGAGGGTGCAAGAAGCCCTCCAAAAAGTCTTTAAAAGGACGCAAAGAATCTAACTGAAGCGGTGAATTTAGACGAGTTTCTCCTTCACCTACGGTCTACTTTTCGAGATAAGGACTTTCTATTACCTCATTAATGGTTTTTTTTTTAAAACAGCGTAAGTCACTTCAAAATTTTTGACGAAACAGCCGATCTCTCACATTGAGGAGTAATTGTACATTTCTCAAAAAAAATTAATATGAATCATTCTAGATATAAGATTTTTGACAGTTTTGAATCAAAATTAGTGCTAGAATGAACGTGCCGGGACCTCCATATGATGATTTGAGGATAAATTATAAGATGAAAATGAGTTCTATCATAATAAGAACCATTGTAAGGACAGAAAGCACCTGTGAAAATGATTCATTTTGATGGGTTCCTTCCTAACCCATGGTCCACATCTCAAAGTGAGGCACTTCACTACGAAATTCGTAAGAAAACCACATATCTCACTTTTACGAGGCTTCAAATGTGCCTCACAGCATAATTTCATGGTGCCAGAGGGCCACTTTTAAAGCCCCATCCCCGGGGCCGCATGGACTCAAATTTGTCTGTCAGAGTAAATCATGGCATAAATATGTCTATACTCAAGGATAATGCACGAAGAGATTGTCAGATAACGGATTCAACACTTTTGCAAGACTTTAAAGTGACCCTCCCATCCGCTTTCAATTTTTTTTTTATATCCCTCTTTCGAGGGCGTAGGGGCCAAAGAAACAGGTTGCTTGACCGAATATCACCCAATTGGTACTAAATGGGTCAGAGCTGTTGGAAAAATACAATTTCAGTCGTTAGCATCGACATAATTTTTCCCATTCATGTTTGTGAAAATCGCTCAAAAGTCCATGTTTGAAGTCAAAAATTTCAATTTCCTCAGTTTTCCTCAGTCTGTCGACCCTGAATCCTGAAAATACCCACTTCGGACTATAACATTCCGCCTGAAACCGCTTGAGAACAGTTGAGAGAAATTTTTAATTGGACTGTGAAATTCGAAAAAAAACGTTTACTTTTACATCACTTTTCAACCTCCTGTCAAAATCACTAAAAAAAGAAATTTCGAAAATACCGTGGTTAGTTGTGTAGAATATACCCTTAAGAATGTGTTGCATATCGCCGAACTTCCCTCCCATGGTCGCACAGTTGAATAAACTGATCGACGAGTAGCGCGTCTAAACATATCAAAAAAATCGCTGAGAAATAGGTAACTTCGTGGTCTCTTCGCGGGAAATTGAGCCACTCAAAAAATGGCACATACATGGCTACTGGGGTAAAAAACGGTGTAGATTTCGAATATCACATTGGTTTTCCAAAAAAAAAAAAAAAATTTAAAATTGAGGTTTTGGCCAGGTTTTTCGGTCAAATACCACAGTGTGCGGCGCAAAGTGGAACGAGTCTTCGGAAGAAGTCGGACATGACATTTTTGACAAAAATTGTAAAATTTCACGTTTATCTCGTCACCATTTTAATTTTAAGGGGTGCTCTTTACAGGAGATTCTGCGAGGAAACCAATGAAACTACTTTTGAAAAATCAACATTTTATATCAAAGAGGATGTACGCTTTTAAAATTTTTAAAGCATGTCCGACCCCGACCTCTCCTGTTGGCGCGATTCATTGTGCGGCGCGGCGAGTGGAAAAATTCGAAATTTTGCATCATGCATTTGACGGATGGCCCTGCACTGCACAATTGAGGTGTATTAGTTATCTTATAAACACAGTTTTTCTGAAAACAGTTTAAATTTTCACAACATGGAACATCAGCTTTCGTCGGGGACACGAGATGGCGCTGAGAAGAGTTGAGATGCGAGAAGGGTGGGTCCCCCTCATGAAAAGAAGAAAACCTCGGGAGAAGGTATCACAAATCATCGGAATTACAAAATTTGGAGAAACTTCACATGGATTGCATTTTGCAAAAAGGAACTACTAGCATTGCAATGTTGCTATGATTGTGCAGCTTCTTTTGTCTTGGAGGAAAAACCCATTATCCATTAATAGTTTCTATTTTACTCGCTAAAAACTGTACATTTAAGACCAAAATGACCATCTAAATTTCATAGTTTTTCATGATTTCCGTAATTTTATTGTAAAGGATGAAGTTGCACAATCTTAGCATCATTGTAATGCTAGTGGTTCCTTTTTGCAAAATGCAATCCACATGCAATCCAGGCGTCACTCATTAAAACCAACTGTAACAGGTGAAGTTTCCTTACTCATGCACACAAACATATGTTAGAACTCATGTTCATGAGAACAAAATCGTTGTTCCCGCGAAAAAGCTCTTAAAAAACTGTAGGAGTGGAAATCCGTCACGTTTATCATGCAATCTCTTCGATGAGATGAGAGAGATTAACATGCAGGCTCTCAGAGTAAAAGACCAGCCTGTGATTAACTTTTTTTGCCACTCAAAACTGAATTTGAAGTTACGAAGTTACTTACTTTAAGAGCCACGTCAGTCAGGCAGCAAGTAATTAATTGCATGTTGAAACTGCGTCACCCTCGATCGACTCAGCATCGGTTGGAAGGATTTTCCAAAAGTTTAAATCAGTTTGAGCAGCTCCCTTATGTACCCGCGTCATGACGTTCCTCGGCAGCCTTATCGTCTTGAGCCTTTTCATTATTAATCCAACCCTTTGTGGTAAGTTATCTTTCGCCCATTCATCCGTGAACTACTCGCATTCAAGGTCGTGTTCATAGTTGTTCCTTAAGGTGATTCGATGGACGCCATATTTTGTGTCAGAGCGGCATGCGATATATCGCATCAATGGAGAATTTGCACGCAATTTTTTTATTGCTTCATCTGAAAGTGCCTAATGAGCTGAGTTCGCAATATTTTTCATAATTTTTTTCTGACATGGGAAATTGGAGAAAAATTTATTTAAAAGTGAGAAAATGTGCCGCCTTGTGACGTCATCTGGCGGCATTTCCCATTTAAACACATGTATTTTAGCAGAATCGGTTATTTTGTTATATCTCCTCTAATAGTTGCTCAATTTATGAATCAAGGGTATCTTCGTGTTCAGTTCACTCAGAGGATTCCACTTAAACAGGAAATTCATCAAATTTCAGACCCTTGCAAATTCTCCATTGGACCCATTTTTTCAGCTACTCGTCATTTTTCTCCAATTTTGAGATCGCAATTCTGTTGTCAGGAGACTAAAGCACTCACTTACCAATTTTTTAACGAAGAAATTCAACGTAATAAAGGCGTGGTTTTTTCAGAGAGAAAACATCGCATTCGATACTGATATCGAAACTGCCCTCGAATGCGATATTTTCTCTCCAAAAGAAACCACGCCTTTATTACGTTGAATTTCTTTGTTAGAATTGGTAAGGGAGTGCTTTAGTCTCCTAACAACAGAATTGCGATCTCAAAATTGGAGAAAAATGACGAGTAGCTGAAAAAATGGAACTATTTGATGCGGTATATCGCATTCCGTTCTGACACAAAATATGGCATCCATCGAATCACCTTAAGCAGCTTCTTTCCCTAAGAGGCCCCATATTGATGGCCAAAGTGCGAAGTATACACAAACTTAAAATTAAAGTGCGCTCTAGTAACTATATGACGAGGAGAATTTTACAAGAAACGTGATGTGGCTCATTTTTCCAACGATACAATTGCAATTAAGTACGACCAATTAGATTAAATTTTGTCATATGAAACTACTTATACTGGCTCGTTTCAGGAAAAATGTAAGGATAAGTAATTTTCCTGTTTGAATCAGTGCTTTTATGGATAAATAAGAAATATCGGTTGTTTCTTACAAGACACAGTTCAATCATACCCTGAATACGGAAAATAATACTATGGATAGGATTTTCCCAGCACGACTACTATTTAGTGCAACAAGCAGAATTTAAAAGAACCTTAGCACCGCATATTTAAGTTCATAAAATTACAGCCCTCTCAAAAAGAACACAAACAACAGATATCTATAAAAGTATGAATTAATGATGAATACATACAAGGAAGACAATTGTATCAATTAATTATATTTAACTGTAGTCTTTAAAAAACTATCATTCTGGTTTTGTTTGACGTTCTTAGGCGTTTATTGTGTAAAAAGATTTCGTATTGCACACCTCCAAGTGATAGTACCAACGACTCCAATATTAATCGTCATGTAAAAAATAACGTTTCCTCACCGAAAAAAAATCCGTAAGAATTTTTTTTTTGATTTTTCGTAATAGTGAAATGAGCATCGATGAAGTAAAACAAAGCAACTCGGCTCCAGGTTTATTTTCATGTCATCCATTCAATTTCATATTATTAACTCTCCCGTGGACGATGGTTGTAATGTTTCATAACTTCGATCCCTTTCAGAGCCCACGACCCGTCAGGAATGCTTAAGAGAGTGCCACAATAAACACGGACACGTTTTGTATAAAAGTCTAGGTGTCTCACCAATGTTGGATGGACGTTTCGAGGACAAGAAATGTGAATGCGTAATGCACGTGAATTTGATGGACGCCGTGGAGAAGATCACGGGTAAGGCCACCGAATTTAAAGAATTGTTCGAGAATAATTCAGAAGAGGGTATGAAATGGTTAATAGCACACGGTTTTAGAGTCGTTCATAAAAACCTTCAGCCTCGTGTACAGCACTCCCACAGCAACACTGGAAATCACTCCTCCGACAATACTGGAAAGCACTCCCCCAGCAAAACTGGAAGGCATTCCTCCAGCAAAACCGTAAAGCACTCCTCCAGCACAACTGGAAAGCACTCCCCCGTCTTTTACTCCTCGTCCAACACTGAAAAGCCGCCTCCATCATCTTCAACTCCGTCTGAAGTGGAGGAAACGCAGCGTGCGAAGGCACAATGCAAAGCAGAATGTCACCAAACACACGGGTACGTTTTCTTTGCTGAATGGTATCCAATTACGGATGGACAGTTACAGGGCACGGAATGCCATTGCGTAATCTCCCAACCTTTGATTGAAGTCCTGGAAAAACTGGGACGTAATAAGGGGCAGGAAACCTGGGCCGTCGACTTCAAAAATTTGTCCGAGAAAAATCCAGAAGAGGGCAAGAAATGGTTAGAAAATCAGGGTTTTAAATTATGTCCTACGAACCCTTACCCCTCTGGATGTCACTCCCCCGACAGTACTCGAAAGCCCTCCTCCAGCACAACTGGAAAGCACATCTCCAGCAACAATGGAAATCACTCGTCCAGTAAAACTAAAAAGCACGTCACATCTCGACTCCCGTTCTTTACTACAAGTTCACCTTCATCACCTCCATCTCCCCCCAAAAAGAAGGACTCACGCCTATCGAATTGCAAAGAAGAGTGTCACCAAAACACGGACATTGGCACATTCCCCACGGGTCATATTCCTTTCCAATTATGGACGGTCATTTAAGGGATGGGAAATGCGAATGCATTATCTTCCACCCTTTCATTGCATTCCTGGGAAAACTGGGGCGTGAAAACGAGCACGGAACCTGGGCCGTCGACTTTGAAGAGTTGTTCAAGAAAAATCCAGAAGAGGGCATGAAATGGTTAGAAGAAAAGGGTTTTAAAAGATGTGCTACGACCTATGAAGAATGCTGAGCTGAGTGTCACGAGAAACAAGGGTGGGTTAACATTGGTGTTGCCGCGCCAATATTAGAGGGAGATTTCAAGGACAAGAAATGTAAGTGCGTAATCAGCCCTTCTTTAATTGGGCACCTGAGAGAAAGGAAGTTTGATCCCACCAAATTTACAGATTTGTTCAAGATAAATCCAGAAGAGGGCATGACATGGTTAGAAGAAAAGGGTTTTAAAAGATGTGATGCAAATTCCGACCCCTCTGGATGTCACTCCCCCGATAGTCCTCAAAAGCACTCCACCAGCACAACTGGAAAGCACTCCCTCAGCGAAACTGGAAAGCACTCCGCCCGCACAACTGGAATTCACGCCTCCTTTGCTCAGGAGCCCGACGCTTCCACTTCATCTATGAAAAGGGAGCTGGCACGGACGACAGGATTTAAAAGGTCGGGAAAATAAGGATAGAAAAGCGTAGAACCCCACCGAGCAGTGTCAAATCTAGTAAGGATACCCCGTCATGAAATTTGAAGAGATGATGGAGCGAAGATAGTATCGGAGACACTATAACTCATGTGCCTCATAACTCATTCGTGCTGTACGAAAAGTTTATTTGAGGGGTATGCGTGTAAGTTAAAAGGGATACAATTTAATTTCACAACAAGGGGTCCTGTCGTCTGCAAGGCTTGATTTGCAATTCAGCTTTGGTAATAATTCTCCTCAAAAAAATTCACTTGGATACAAACAGATGTACAATGCATGTAATATACAGGGTGATCCAAAAGTCCCTTCCACCCCCTCTAACTTTTTACCTAATTGAGATAAAGATTTGAAACTTGGGGGATATTCCTAGGTCAAAGGAAGCTACTTTTCGGCCCCCCTAAAATTTTCAGGGGGGCCCCCCTTGGGGGGCAACGGCCCCCAACTTTAAATTTTCAAATGGGAAGACCCCCTTTGTGATAGCTCGTTCGAAAGAGCATAAAAAAAGAAAACTTTTCGCGCAAACCCGAAGTCAATATCTCAAACCGTTTCAAAATGGCGGCCGGTTAAAGTTCAAAATGGCCGAAAATTGGCACCTCTGCTATTTGAATATGGATTTGCGCGAAAATCGGTATGTTGGGGTATTTTGACACGAGAAAAACGAATTTGACGTTAGATTTTCAAAAAACCGAAATTTCCAAAATGGCCGCCGGTTAAAGTTCAAAATGACCAAAAATTTATTTTTTTATAAATCTAAGTTCAAGTTTGTTTATCTTATGCCAAAATACTCTCAAATTCCAAGTTTTAGGCAAATCCATCAGGAAAAAACCAAGGTGAAAATTTTCGACCATCTTAAACTTTAACCGGCGGCCATTTTGGAAATTTTAGTTTTTTTGAAAATCTAACGTCAAATTCGTTTTTCTCGTGTCAAAATACCCCTTCATACCGATTTTCGCGCAAATCCATCGACAAATAACCGGTGTGAAATTTCGGCCATTTTGAACTTTAACCGGCCGCCATTTTGAAACGGTTTGAAATATTGACTTCGGGTTTGCGCGAAAAGTTTTCTTTTTTTATGCTCTTTCGAACGAGCTATCACAAAGGGGGTCTTCCAATTTGAAAATTTAAAGTTGGGGGCCGTTGCCCCCCCAAGGGAGGCCCCCCTGAAAATTTTAGGGGGGCCAAAAAGTAGCTCCCTTTGACCTAGGAATGTCCCCCAAGTTTCAAATGTTTATCTCAATTAGGTAAAAAGTTAGAGGGGGTGGAAGGGACTTTTGGATCACCCTGTATATTTGATACCAATAAATAAGCAATAGAAACCTATGTACTTATACGGGAATGTCTAACAAGATTCTATTAAATAGTTTCCAAATTTCCCCACGTAAAACATGCATTTTTGAAGAAAGTTATTATATTCATATAATTCCTAGAAGTTCTTAGATATTTTAGATCAAATTGCGTTGCGAACAAAAGTGTTCGAAATTTTGGGAAAAAATATTAAAAGTTTCCCCAGTAAATTCGGTCTTTATTGGAGGGAATCCGACAACGTCTAATGGCTCATGCGGGGTTTTTCCTTAGCATATCAGCACAGGGGACCAGTTGCATGTAGTCTGTAGGTTTCCATTTCAAATTTTTATATTTTATTTTCATTCTTCCGACTGAAAATGGCTCAGTTTTAAGTCGAAACGTCTTGGGTTTTAATGTGTACTTTTTAGCCTTTTTCCCGTTTTTTTCTCGTATGTTTTTAATATCACCATTGTCACGGACTGCTGCTATAGAAATGGAGATGTTGCATGTGTGAGGGATTTGCGATTTGACTGTAGATTCTTCTGTAAAAGTTCGCGAGAAACACGATCGTGCCACTGGTTTTTTTTGAAATCAACTCCTAAACTCAAAAAAGCTCTCAAGTTGAGGCCAATATGGAGGGGATATCCCACGCAATCCTGAGAGTCCACCTCTACATGAAGACAAACTCTCCATGCGAAGATAGGGAGCAAATACATTGACAGGGCAGCCACTTTATTTGGGGACTCTAAAACTGAAAACACGGCAACCCTGCTAATGTATTTGCTCCCTATCTTTGCATGGACAGTTTGTCTTGATGTAGAGGTGGAGTCTCAGGACAGCGTGGGATATCCCCTGCATTTTGGCCTCAACTTGAGAGCTTTTTTTGAGCTTGGGAGTTGATTTCAGAGAAAACCAGTGAGACCATCGTGTTTCTCGCGAACTTCTACATGAGAATCAACAGTCAAATCGCAAATCCCTCACACATGCAACATCTCCATTATTCCGGGCTGCACTGATTAAAATATTTTAGTGTAGGGTACCTATATAGGGAGAGAATGGGCATGTCGAAATACGTAGGTCTTAGGGCGCAAAAGGGTAGGTACGCTTTGAAAACGAAAAATATCACTGCCAATCTTCAAACTCTAATATTAGACCGAAATGGAAAAGAATGTTTATACATGAGCGTTCTCCTGCAAAATTACTGAATGGATACAAAAACTAAGTCAAATGCGCAAACATCTCCATTTTAACCTAGGATTAGTTACAATCTTTGGACCATTTACTTGAATATCCCGTCGATTTGGCAAGCCGGTCCCGAGGCCGCGGATCCTTGCGGGTATGCAACCCGCACACCGTTGCGCCACGCCCGCTTTCTCGAGCAGCTTACTCACGCCCCTCCCCCCCCCTCCCGTGTGCCACCGTTCATTCATTGACGCGGGCCCATTCATCGATCCCCACCCCTCCCGTAGCCGTTCATGCAGTCGCTGCAGTTATCGTTAGCGCAGGATTTACAAAGCGCCCCCGGGCGCATTCTTGGCGCTGCAACGGCCCGTGGCTCGTGGTGGGTCGCGTGACCCGCGAGGTCGCCAAACGCGACTCCTGAGTCCTCGTGGGAATCCGGTTTCGGTTTTGGAGACACTCGCTATCTCCCATGCATCGCCTGTACTCTGCCATGCTAAGGAAAAACGCCGTATGAACCCACAGGCGTTGCCAAATTTCCTTTGATAAAACACTAATTTCCAAGAAATCTCGAGAAAATTTTCCGTCCAATTTTCCAACGATTTTTAGGGGTGTTTCGTATGATTCGTGGCAATTTGACAAGGACGGAGGCTTTTTTCAATAAAAGTTTCCAGTCGGAAGCTTCTGAGCCCGTTTTCTCATACCATCATTTTTGCACTTACTGCTCTCTTCGCTGTCACGGCAATGTACTGCCGTGCTAAGGAAGAACGCCGCATGAACCTTCGTGCGTTGCCAAATTTCTTTCGGCAAAATACGAATTTCCAAGAAAACTTGAGAAAGTTTTCCGTCCGATTTTCCAGAAAATTTTCTTTGCAATGTGATCTGAAGTATCAGAAGACTCAAGTAGAAATATTCATTACTCACCTCAAAAATGAACATTTTATCGAAGGAAATTTGGCAACTCTCGAATGTTCATACGGCGTTCTTCCTTAGTACGGCAGTACTGCCGTGCTGAGGAAAAACGCCGTATGAACATCCGAGAGTCGCCAGATTTCGCCTCTTAGAATATTAACTTTTGAGCCGAATAATGAATATTTCTACTTGAGTGTTCTGATACTTTAGATCACATTGCTAAGAAAATTCTCTGGAAAATTGGACGGAACATTTTCTCAAGTTTTCTTGGAAATTCTTATTTTCCCGAAAGAAGTTTGGCAACGCACGAAGGTTCATGCAGCGTTCTTCCTTAGCACGGCAGTACACTGCCGTGATAGCGAAGAAAGCAGTAAGTGCAAAAATGAAGGTATGAGAAAACGGGCTCAGAAGCTTCCGACTGGAAATTTTTATTGAAAAAAGCCTCCGTTCTTGTCTAATTGCCACGAATCATACGAAACACCCCTAGAAATCGTTTGGATGATTACAAATCCACCAATGTTATTTCAATTACCTAAAAAGGATATTTTTCATTTTCATGTTAGGCTAGTGTTAGGCAAGACAGCCGTAAGTGCACAACAAACACATTTTCAGGTTATAAATTGGCAGAAGAGAGCAGCGTTGTACTTGAAAGCACTGATTTGATTGGCTTTCCGGAGGAATATTGTCACTTACGGCTGTTTTGCCTGAAACTAAGTCATTTTTTGCACACTTACAGCTTTCTCATATGTCTCGTTTTCATAGAATTAGGATGAATTTCGCTGTTTTAGCTACTTCAGTGATTTCATCTGAAAGGGATTCGACAAATTTTGATGGAAACTCGATTTCGAAAATGGTACACTTACTGGTCTCTTCGCTATCACGGCAGTATATTATAAGTGCCCATCGTATATTCGCTCGACCTAAAGGAGAATGGCGTATGAGCCTAAATTGCCTAATTTCCCATGATAAAACATACATTTTTGAAGAGACTTGTACCGAAATATTTTTTCTTAAATTTTCCGGAAAACTTCATGCGCAATTTGACCTTGAGTGTCAGGAATTTCAAGGAAAAATGCCCGTAGCTTTCCAGATTAGATCTAGATCTGTTTCAAAGATAAAGTGTCGATTTGATCATCTGCCTGCGACACATTTAAAGGAGTTTTAAACACCGAATGGATATCACTTCGATGAAGTACTTAAAATACCATCAAAAGCCCCAACCGCTTGTTCAAGCCGCACTGAAAAAAAATTCTCGGCGTTTTTACCAAGGTCCGTTGGTACCTTTACCATCTCACTTTCTTACCAATTATTGGTAATTTTACTAAGACAGGCTGGTAAGCTCACCTAAAAACCGGTATTTTTACTGTTTTTCTCAGGTAAGAATACCACTCTTATTGGTAATCAATTCCAGGTAACTTTGCCATTTTATCTCGGTAATTCTACCACAGTCGATAAAAAATAATAACGTATTTACCAAGGTCCAGTAAAATTACCAAGAAAGTTCAATCATTTTACCGAGATTTCTCGGTAAAATTACCAATTTCATAAATGGTAATTTTACTAAGAAAAAACTGGAATCAAATAGAACCGTGAATTTTTGGTAACTTTACCCTTTTCTTAGTAAATACCCCGAGATTTCTTTTTCAGTGCGACCCAACCATACCCTAATACCCACTCCTACCACCACCCGACTTCGTCTAATTCAAACTTCGTAATGATCAGTGTTTTCCGCAGTCTTAATTTACCCGAATCTCGGCATCCTTCACTCAAAAACAGGTGAAAAATAAAATCATATTTGCGGAGCTAAATATAGCTCGAATCTATTTATTCAAAAACAAGTGTTTTTATCGTTCGCCGCGGCTTCGAATTGTGCGACGGCCACATCTGTCTGAGCTGTCCTAGAGAGGATACGCTGGAAAGCGTTGAACCAAAAATTCCAAGGTCATCTTTGTTTCGGCGGACCTTAGCACCGTGTTTACTTCTTTCGAACTCGTAAATCTGTTTTTAGGGCGCTACTTATGGAGATATTACCGTCGGTATATCAATTTCGATTTCTTGAACCAACTCTGCAAAAGCGAATGGACCACTGGACAAGGTACGAAGTTAAGCATTCTGATAAATGTCTCTTAACCAAAATAACACGTAGAACATGATTCGCGCAACAAGTACTGAGCATAACTCCGAACCAAAATATTCGATGTTTCTTGACGCGAGAATTCAAACCTCATGAAGAACTCTGAAGAACCTCATGAATTTCATGAGAACGCGATGAGTCAAATTAGAGTCCCTTTATACTGAGAGTCAAGACAACATCCCCTCATGGAGTCACAAACGGGAATAAAGATTACACAAATTGAACGTTTTTTTGAAATCTTTGATCGGCCCATTCTCAAATTCCTTTCTCCGTTCCTTCTCTCATTCCGTTTGTTCCTTGCCGAACCCGTAATTCCCTGGTCCATTCCAGATTATAATCTTTGCAATCGGTGAAAATGTAATCTTTATTCCTTTTTGTGACACTGTGAAGGCCTAAAATACGGGAACCAATCAGAAATGGATTCACATTGTCTTGACTCTCAGTATAAAGGGACTCTAAGTCAAATTGCGAACTAAGCGTTACTATGGCAGTCTCTGGTATACAAAAATCTAGCTACCTCGATTTTGACGCTTTGGCTCAGCTTTAGCAAGTGGGTTGTTGTTTGAACAACACAGAGTGGAAAATGAACAGCTCGATTGAGAAGCGTGCCTAAACCATTGTAAGGCGCGCTTTACTTCACGTGGAGTATTTTGTTTCTTGTGACCGAGCATTTCAAATTTCCCGTAACCAATGAAAATTAAAACGTTAATATCTTACTTAGGAGTTGATTTCAGTAATTTTCAAAGCGAGAATCGTGCTCCACTTGAAATTCTAATCAAGAATCACGTATATCAGAACGCTTAAATTTTTACCTTGTCTAGTGGTCCATTCCAGTGAATGTTGCCGCTTTGGACGCTAGACGGTTATTGATCGTCGCAATTGTGGTAGTTTTAGGAATTCTATATTACCGAAAAGTTTTGATTAGAACTTCATAACGCCAAATTTATGGAGCGAAACTAATGTGTGTTTTTCGAATGGCTAACTACCTTCAGCCAGAACAAAAAGAAGTTATTGCTTACATATAGAAAATGGCTGAAAAATCATGATAAGCGAGCGCATCGAGAAAGTCTGAAATGCATTCCCAACTTCCTTTTCTTCGTGCTCATTTCGGAACCTAGCGCGATTCACGAGTCAAGGGCCAGAGAGAGACTCCAGAGGCGCAATGCTTGAAGTATTTCCGGAGTTTTGCAGGCGCTTCCCGAGATCGTTATACGCGCGATGCAACTATTTCGACTTCCAAGTAGGTAAAATTGCATGTTCACAGTATGAAGGAGAATCGCTTTTCGGTTGACTCAAAGACTTTAACGCAAGAGTATAAAAGGTGGATGAGGCGAAACGCGTGAGCAACTGAGAAAATTATGCACTTTACTTTATCAACCCAACTATTCGATCAGTCAAACCGAAGTTTAAGTTCGCGTATTCGAACATATGAGGTTAGAGGAATGCGGCATTTTTAACGAGACTGAAGCATCGTTTTAGGAACAAAGTATGGCCGTCACCACAAAGGTTACACTGTAAGTACGACTAGAAAAGGAGGTTCAACCTGCAATCTACAATGAGCATTGCAAGATCAAGAGAGAGTGGGTTTTCCCCCAATTGAATAACATTCGCATATTGTACCTGATGATTAAATAAATATTTCACTTTAAAATAAGGAAAATATAATGGCGAATGTGTTCGCTTGTACTAAGAATTACGCCAATGAATTCTGCGTATTTCCAGCATCTTCGGAGATTTTTAAAGAACACTTTAGAATACATTTATTAAACCTTCTATCCATTTTGTGCTACGTCATTTTTCCCCCCGAGACAGCCAATTGTACTTTTCCTCACTCTTCTCCTCTGTGCGTTGAATATACTTGCACGTGCGAGTAAAGTTAACGTATATACTGCCGTGCTAAGGAAGAACGCCGTATGAGCATTCGAGAGTTGTCAAATTTCCTTCGATATAATGTTTATTTTTTGGGAAAGTTATGAATTTTTTTCCTTTACATTTTCAGAATCTTTAGGTGAAATTGCGACCAAAATTATCCGAAAAATTGGACGGAAAATTTTCTCAAGTTTTCTTGGAAATTCGTGTTTTTTCAAATGAAACTTGGTAACGCCTGAAGGTTCATACGGCGTTTTTCCTTAGCACGGCAGTATACTGCGAGAAAAATCCGGTACGTTCCTACCACTAGCAGCAGAAGCTATCAAACACCGGAATACATTTTCGTGCAATGAGTGCCAGATTAGTTTAAATAAGCGAGATATCGTGACTAACACGTCCATTTCATCGGCGTAATGTGCGTTAAGCCGCTAATTACAGGGCCTATTGTTCAAAATTTTGCACGAAATTCTGCGGTTATCTTGTCTCGGCCATGTTCATAAGCGGCCACAGTTTCTATTCCTTTTTCCACAGCCGGGCGCCCAGTGTTCGTCCGCGCTTAGTTCTTGAATTTGCTCCTGTACAAACACGAAAGAAAAATCAGTCGCAGTTAAAATTTAAAACGAAGTGCCACGAAAATGTTTAACCTCGGGAAGAAGACGGAAAAGTAATTGCCGTCCGGTTAAAAGTTATAAGTATGTGCTTCGAGTATACCGACCAAACGATCACCCTCACACAGTGGCGATTTTTCCAGTCGGGAACACTGTTTTTCGTCCATATAAATCCATTAAAATTGTCGATTTCAGGTTAGGCAACCTGCCTCACTAAGAATCGATTGTTTTACGTAAATTTAAATGGAGGAAAAACAGTGCTGCCAATTTTCTAAAATCGCTTCTGCCCTCACATACTTACAGTGATCCTATTTTTTAAAGCCGTGTTAGGTTTAGGGTAGTGCTATGTTCGTGAGTTAAACCCTGTGTTTCCTCCATTTAAATAGCAATGGCTAATGTACAAAACCATATACCTCCGTTTGCGACGTTGCAAAACTCCTGACGTGTTTCATTTTTGCCTCGGAAAACGAACCAATGTAGTTTCTTGATTTTCTGTATTTTACGTTTGCCCTGACCGTTCAATTGCGTGTGTCCATTACATTTTTGTCAAAATAAGCTTAACCCTCTTCTCTAGACGGAAAAATTAACATTCGAAGGACACTGTCAATCCACCTCCTTATCTCTTCTACTGAATTCAACCAGTTAAATGCTATTCCACCATGGGAATGTACCACCTGGGAAGAGGCGACGGGGACGTCCCGTAAAGGGTTGGCGGCAGGGCGTTGACGAAGAGATGTTGCGGTGTCAGTTGCCCGATAACCTCTGGGAAGACAGGCATATGTGGCGTTTGGGGGTCGTAAAACGCCAGAGTGCGTTGTAAAGCGGCTTTAATATATATATAAATGCTATTCCTCATAGGCCGTCAAAGTATCACAGATGGCATTTTGGCCTACTTTTTGACCCCCATTTTAAATCGCGTAAGGTTAGACTAAGACTCCTTCTCTCTCTGTCCTCCCCCCCCCCCCCGCCAATTTTCCCCAACTTTTGGAAGCGTGAAAAATAGGTGAAACATTTTTTGTTTGAAAATTATTGATTTTCTTCTGTTGGGAGTCTCACGTCCTATTGCCCCTCCCCTTTAAGTGACTTACGTGTAATACTTGTACGACCCCAAAGCCATCAGCTATTCTACATCACTTATTATTTTGTCGGAAACCTAAGTGTCGTGCAAAACAAGGAAAACTCTCGGTTCTTTCCGTTAGTATATCCAACCTCTTAACCGATATGCTCATACTTACTGCTCTTGAGACATGTCGTTTCAACCACTAATTCGAACATTGACATCGCCGCGTCGGTTGTTAGACCATAGTGCATAACGAGACTTTAGCATCGATCTACTGGTTTATCGAACATTACAGTACCATCCCTACAACCCCTAATATTCTTCCCCCTTCTCAGAGAGGTACCTTCGACATTTTGAAAATTCCCATAGAGAAAATAATAGGGAAAGTGCGTGACAATCAGATCTTCCGGTCGATTTTTTCAGCCAATCAGACGTCCGATGACCGATGATTGATTCAAACATTTTCAGATTTTTTGCAAGAAATGCAGAGTGGCTGGCAAAATTTCATTTTATCATTCCCTGACTTTTCCCCGACTTCTTCTAATGAAATTTCCCGACTTGTTTATGATAATTTAAGGGCACTTAATTAATGTGGTCAAAATGTTGGCACAACATCGCGATCAGCTGACCCGTCGCGTACCCGCTTTTTACGTGGAATCCGACTTCACAAAAAATCCCCGGGCATTGACCAAATTCCCTGATTTTTCCTGTTTGAGTTGCTTTCCCTGAATTTTCCCAGTTTTCTCGGTCGCTAGCCACCCTTTAGGAAAATTGAGTGAAATTTTCCGTTACAAATTCACGAAATTCTCCTGGTTGAAGTGCAATTTCTTCGGGGAAATTCGGCAACATTGAAATGCTACGTTCTATCGTCAGGGCACCGACGCGCCGTGGCACGCCGGCCAGCGCCTACAAACCTAAGTGGATACTTCAAGCACGCGAAGTATCCACTCAGGTTTCTCGGCGCCAAACGGTGGATCGAGTCAATTAGAGAGGTCGGACATACATTTGAACTAAAAGTGCAACTTTTTATGTTTATTTCGTCACAATTTAAATTTTAAAGAGCGCCTTAGAGGAAAATGTCACGTGGGAACCAATGAAACCACTTTTAGTACCTCAAAGTTTTATATAAACGGAGTTAAAAGCGTTTAAAGTTTCCAAATTTTGTCCAACCTCTCCTATTGACTCTATCTACTAACGGTACTACGTATCATAGCACACTGAAAAAAAATTCTCGGCGTTTTTACCAAGGTCCGTTGGTATCTTTACCATCTCACTTTTTTACCAATTATTGGTAATTATACCAAGACAGACTGGTAAGCTTACCTAAAAACCGGTATTTTTACTGTTTTTTCAGGTAAGAATACCACTTTTATTGGTAATCAATTCCCGGTAACTTTGCCATTTTATCTCGGTAATTCTACCACAGTCGATAAAAAATATTGGCGTTTTTACCAAGGTCCAGTAAAATTACCGAGAAAGTTCAATAATTTTACCGAGATTAATTACCAATTCCATATATGGTAATTTTACCAAGAAAAAACTGGGATCAAATAGAACCCTGAATTATTGGTAATTTTACCCTTTTCTTAGTAAATACACCGAGATTTTTTTTTCAGTGGCATGTTACGCGGGGCCCTCGGGACGTAACGCAAGAAAATAAATAAAACGAATAAATAAAATCAATCTCCGGACCGATCAACCGATGAGAGCTCGACTTCCGATCTCGATCGCGGGTGCGTAAACAACGGCTAAGGCGTTGCATTGTGTAGTAATCTAAAGAGCTTGTTGATAAACACAAATCTCGGACTGTGCACCTGGGACCCTACGACGCGACGCAGGCACCTAATAAACTACTGACGTAGGAAGCTCAACCTCCCGTTCGTTTATTGACTCTCCGTCTTTTCATGAATCGGCCTCATGACGTCACAGCTTTCGATTGTAGTCCGTAACTCACAACACGAACCCGGGCCGGTTTACGGGAGGAACGGGTCACAGAAGTTGATACTGGCCTCCTTCGGGATGCTACGACGTAATTCGGGCGTACTCGCATGGAGAAAATATTCCGCTCGGGTCGAAGAGTCGTAATTTGAATAGATGATAGATTTGCAAGATGATACAGGAAATCTTCAGTTTTTGGCTCGAAAGCCAGGTTACAAGAGTCTCAGGGTGTCTACAAGTCCGGAATTTCCGGAAAGTCCGGAAATAGTACTGATTTTTTAAGGACGCCCGGAAGTACTGAAAAAGTGCGGAAATTCCGCAAAAAGGTCCGATTTTTTTCATTATTGTCGCATTTTTTAAATTTTCCAATTTCGTCTAATGGAGATACTGAAATAGTTCGGAATTTTTCTGTTGAAGGAAGTACTGAATTTTTCGAGAATGTACTGAAAAAGTACTTATTTTTGATCAGCCTGTTTTAGTAGGCATCCTGGAGTCTGGAAGGACCTGGAACCTGGAACCCCTGGTAAAGTCAGGGAATTCTGGAAAAAAATCTCCTGGATCCCCAGTTCAGACTCTTAATAGATTCGACATCATAAATTACTCTTTTTTCAATAGGATTTTTTCCTGAATCAAAATAAAATCCGCTGAATTTAAGAGGCTTTGCAAAAATTCAAGCAAAAATTATATTTAATCAAGAGTATTTTTTCCTGTCAAATGATTTCAGAGTCTAACTCTGGAATCAAGAGACTTTACTCTCCAGTGGCAGAACCCTAGAATTATGCTGCTATGCTAAGGAAGAACGTCGCATGAACATTCGAGAGTTGCCAAATTTCCTCCAGGAAAATTTTTATTTTTTAGGAAAGTTATGAATATTTTTCCTTTAAATTTTCAGAATATTTAGGTAAAATTGCGACCTAAATTATCTGAAAAATTGGGAGAAAAATATTCAAAAATTTACCAGGAAATTTGCGTCTTACCAAAGGAAATTTGGCAACAACTGAAAGTCCATACGGCGTTTTTTTTTTTGTTTTTAAGCACGACAGTATAGAGGTAGTATGGTTATATCATACTTTTGCTATCTAGAATGGGTTTGATGTTTCAAACAATTGATTTTCGTGGCAAATTTTCCAAATTAAGTCCGTTTAATTTTCTGGCATATCTTCAATTGTCAGAGAATTTTACCAAATCGTGACAGGGAAATGTCCGGGAATTTCATCAGTTACATTTTGTGGCAACCCTGGCCCTAGGTCAATGGCTGTCACCCTGTTTTTCCTCGGTACGAATACAAACTCAACCAGTGGCGTGGCTTGCTTTGCGATTTGTCGATTGATCTGTCATTTAAACCTATGGAAAAGGATCGATAAACAGGGTGTTCCCAGCGAACACCTAAATAATCGATTCTTTACCATAGCTTCAAATAGGGAAATATCAATAATCGATTATGCACGCCACGCCACTGAACTCAACGTTTTTGCCAGGTAGCGAAAAACGAATCCGTGCCACATAATTGACACACAACAGTAGTGACAAAATGGGAAAAAATCGCGAAGTTGACGTCGGGAAAGCGATTAAACTTTAACGTCCCGCCGAGACAGACCTTCCGCGTAGGAAAGTGGGGGAGGAGGGCGGGCGGGAAAAAGCACACAAGGAAAACGTCAGAGGACGTCAACGTGCCGTAGGTTGATTGGTCGTCGGTTCTTTATGCAGCTGGGTCGGTATACGTCGAGACGTGACTGCATCGATAGCTCAATACGTTCGATTCCGGCCCGTTTAAATACTGCACTGATTGTTTAGCGCCCGCGTCATCGCGTACGCCCGCGCGAGGGCTCCGGCTGCGCCTTTGAAAACAACGAAGCTGCGACGGAAAAATATCCCAAATCCTTATTTAAAGTGATCCATTTGAAAGGAAATTGCGTCCCCTACAAAGTTTCTAATAACTAAAAAGTTCATAGTTGCAGTCAAAAAAAAGTTATCACGCTCTTTATGAAAAAGAAGCAATTCAATTTCTAAAAAATTGCGCTTTTTTCAAAATTTTCAGCTACTTGTGGGAAAATTTGTATAATTGTTAAAAATTTCTTAAAGAGCA